CTTATACGAAGGAAAATATGGTAATAGTGGGAGCAAGGGACATCCCTGCCTGGTCCCATTCTCTATTTCAATTTTTTTTTTGTTTTTTCACCATTGACAAGAATTCGGGTTTCCATATCGCATAAAATAGGGGCTACTTCAACAGCGTATTTTTTTTTTTATAAAACTCAGCTGAGTAACCATCTGGCCCTGGGGCTTTTTTCAATTTAGTTAATTTTATGGCTTCAATTATTTCTTGCACAGTAACATTATTTAACTCTATTGTCTGTTCTTCATTGAATGGTTCAATACTGGACTCTTCTAAGTAAATTCTCATTTTATCTTCGTTTAGTTCCTTCTTTTTATACAGTTGTTTATAAAATTGACGAATTGTATCTTTTATTAGGTCTTTTATTAATAAAGAAATTAATATATCTTTTATTGTATCTTTATAAAATCGATAAATTCTATCTTTTATTAATAAAGAAAAATCAATAGTCCTAACAAAAAAATATGACTAAAGAGGAGAAAGAGAAGATACAGGCCGTAACAGGGTATCAAATTAGTAAAAAAGTGAAATATCTAGGGATTGAGATAACAACTAAAAATGTTGACTTGTTTAGAAACAACTATGAAAAGCTGACAAAAGTGATAAAAAAAGATTTGGCGAATTGGAGAAAACTAAACCTCTCATGGCTTGGGAGACTGTCAGCAGTAAAGATGAACATACTCCCTAAATTCATGTACCTGTTCCAATGTATTTCAATCATTATGAACAATAAACCATTTAGGAGTTGGAGCAAAGAAATTTCAGGGTTAGGTTTAAAATCCTTCAGGACAGAAGACAATGAGGGGGGCTGGATTTACCAAATATGCAATTATATTACGAAGTGAGCTGTCTAGAGTGGTTGATGGAATGGTTTCAATTAAAAGATAAAAATTGTTAACTTTAGAAGGGGTAGATCAAAGATTCGGTCTACACACATACCTGTTTTACTAAAAACAAAGGATCCATAAGGATTTTATGAACCATTTTGTAAGAATATCCTTACTGAGAGTTTGGAATAAACATA